CCTCGTCGCTTCCTTCTGCTACATTTTTGCTAACTATTCATGGCGTATTATCTTCTCTCTCGAGGCAGTGGGTTCTGTGATCGTCGAGTGATAAGCTTGTTTCATTGGACGTCTCTACTGTTCCTCCTCATCACTTGTTCATGGCTTTATATTTTTAGATAATGGATACAGATTCGGCCTCTATATCCACAAAACTGACGTACACAGAACTGGGTTTACAAGAATCTTTAGACTTTAAGCCTAAAAACTGAGGTGCGCAAAAAAAAAAAAAGAGCAACAAGACTAAGAGAGCTAGAAAACTAAGCTGGAATGTCCTTGCTTCAAAACTGCTTTGATATTGTGCAGTAGCATTCCTTGGCATCCTAGTTTACTTAGAAACTCTTAATGTCAGGCCTCAAAATTTGATCTTGTGCAGTACCAATCCCTCGCATCCTTATTTTCTTAGATACTTTGATGTCGGTGAGGTTGAGCCTCGCTGTGGAGGTACCCCTCGCCGGAGAGCTGCAGCTGTGACACCACCCATGACACTAGCTCGTCCTCGGTGAGGTTGAGCCTCGCCATGGAGGTACCCCCACCGCCGCCGAGGTCATGCCACTCCTCCACCGCCTTGAGTCTCCTGATCAGCTCCTAATTAGACAGGGTACCAAGATCAAGAAGTGTTTTGGACGCCATCACGATCTGCGAGTACCTCAGTGGCGTGGCCTGTAGGAACTTCCACATGATCTCCGGCTCCGTGTAGACATTGTCGAGGACCTCCAACTGGTTAGCGAGATTGGTGATGTGGACGTCGAAGTCATCGATGGCTCCCCGTCCTTGAACTTGAGCGAATTGAATTCGCACCGCAACTGTTCGCCATCGCCTGGCGCACCCCGTCGACGCCGAGGTGCGTCTTCTTGAGTGAATTCCAAGTGAGCTTGGCAGTTGCCTTGCTCGCGATGCTCTCCCGCAACTCCGGAGGCACCCTAAGCGCGATGGCCTCCAGAGCGTTGCAGTCGTCGATGAAGTCACTGGTGCCGATGTTCACCGCTGTCCACAAGCTCCTCGCCTGTAGATTTATCCGCATGAGCGCTACCCATGCATAGTAGTTCGTCTTGGTCAGCATTCGGTACTGCCCGCTGCCGCCGCCTTCCCTCACGACCTGGAGGATCACCAGGCCACGCTCGCCATTGCCACATCCACTCGTGCCGCCGCGCCGCACCCGGCGAGACATGAACGCCACAGCAATCGTTTGATCCCACGTCCAATGGTGGAACCTCACTCCGACACCAGTTGACGTCTCCTGCTCGCCGGCGATCCTCGCCGGAGCCGAGGAAGATGAGCTCGAACTGATGAACACGGACACGCACGAACACAGTGGATTTTAGTGCCGCAATAGCACACTGTTTCTGACTCTGATTGCATTATATACAAAAACAAAGCGTGGTTCGTGACCACGATCACCCCTGCGCCATGTGCGCCACCCCCTCAAATTTGATCGTGCCCTCCCACGACCGAAGGAGGAGCGTGCACGATGTCTTCTATGACTCAATAGAAAACGGATAAGAACGAACGCCTCATCACGAACAGAGCGTGAGTCTGGCGAGTACATGACGCACCCAACCGGTTTCAAAGTGAATTGAACCTAAATTGACTGAATCAAACTGAATTAACCAACATTGCCCACGTCGGCCTCATCCTCCACCGGTGCTAAGCCCCGAAGCACGCAGTCTGTTCTTCCCCAACTCCAGTCCAGCAGGTTCAACCCTGATCTCCTCTACTGCTCCGACCTGCAGCTCGATCTCTAGACCATCTTTCCCCACGCTTGGTGAGATCCCCATGGCGTTTCCCTCTCTTCTTCCGCCGCAATTGTTGGTCAGGCGCAGCATCATCCACGGCGGGCGTGGCGGCCATGGCGGCAGCCGGGTGCGGGCATGGCAGCTACAGCCACGGCCGGACGTGGCGGCCATGGAGAGGAAGAACGCGATGAAGGAACCACGGAGAAGAAGAACACGATGAAGAAATAAAACAAACCGCTTTTTTCTATGTAATTAGTGGCATGGTGGGTAATTTTTCCCAACTCTACCAAACTGTGTTTGGTGGAGTACCCCTTGAGGAGTACCATTTTGGTGAATCTAGATTTCGTGGAGCTAGACCGTTTGGGTAACATTTTGTGGAGTGGAGGTGTTTTTGTTGTATCTGGAATTCATGGAGATCTGCCAAACATGCCCTATATTATTAGTGATGAGAGCAGCAGCAGCAGCATGAGCAGTGCCACCACCGCGAAGCCACACAAGGGGAGTGATTAAATTAAAGGTGGGAGGCGATCCATGTGGTTAAGTAGTCCTGGGATAACTTTCTTGGTTATGGAAATTCTGCCAACCCTGTATACTCACTTTGAGACAGATAAGTTTTCATGCTTGGTTATGGAATTCTGCCCTGGAGGGGACTTTCATACTCTTCACCAAATTAAAGGTAACCTGGAAAGTAGATTTGCCAAAGGATGCTAAGAAAGAGTCCTTGGCTGAGACAGAAGTGGGAAGTGATAACTTAGAGCAGAAAGCAGCAGAGAGGTATGTTCACATGCAATGTAATTCATTTACTTTTATTTCCTGAGAGTAATAATTTGAGATCATTTTTGTTTATAAAGTCGAATCATGACAGAAAATAAGAAAAGAGCTAATGGCACTGACTAGACTGCTCCTGTTATAAGCCATAGATATAAAATACCTAAGTTATGTCATCTGTTCCAATTATGCCATTGCTTCACAGTTAGTAGTGGGTAAAATATAAACTTAATAGTGTGGGCAGTCCGTTTGATGTCTTAGTACATGGTGGAACATATGTTGTAGATAGTTCGCCCTGTTCGCTTGGCTTATAAGCCGTACTTTTTCAGCCAATGAATAATATTTTTCTCTCACAACAAATCAGCCAACAGGACTTTCAGCCATGGCTTATCAGCCAAGCGAACAGGGCAAGTATATTGTATGAACAATTTTTTATCAATGACTTATATGTCACGCATAAGAACTCACTGATGTCTGATATTTGCCAGTGTTGATGAGCCTTTGCTCCCAGAGGTCAAGGAGGAGAGAACCAGGAGGAGCCAATTCGTGCAGGGGCTTGTCTTGTCCCTGATGTTTGACGACATCTTATGAAGAGAGCAACCCAAAAGGACAGTGGAGAAGGCAGCTCTTGCTACCAGCAAATAGGCCTTACAAGAAGCACAAGGTGCTGCTGCAGTTGTTGTGACATTGCTCCGGGATAATGGGGAGATGATTTGTGGATATGGATGTTTCGTAGTATGCATTGTCATTGCATGAATAATAATAGAGTATATGTATTTATAGTTTGGTAGCATCATGGTACCTGATATTATGGGGCCTTGTATGTATATTGGGAGGCCGGAATGGATCCTATCTATCGTAAATCAGCCATTTGATCATGTGCCTGTGGTGTTCTGCTGGAAACCTGGAATGTGCGTAGGTAATAATCTGCCTGTGACTGCCGAACCGAGTTTTCTTCAAATGTTTTATTTGAAAAATAAAACGGCATGATTTGGTCAAATTTGGATGAAATGATTCGCATTCACACTGCCAATTTTCTGTGCTTTTGTGGACAACGGTACTGCGTCATTTACTCATTTTGCACATACTAATCGTAATGGTATGGATTTTTTCTCTTCCGATATTGAAGAAAGCTCAATATAGTCCCTCAGAATGACAACATCATTCTTGAGCATTACTTGTACTTAACTATTGAATTTAGCACAATACAGATTTAACTGAAGCATAAAAGATGGCAAGAACATTATCATAAAAATAGCTTGGAAGAAACCATCATCTAAGTTGAATATTGAAATAAGTCTCCTACGATGGTAACGATAGACAAACTTGGGTTGCAACATAACAGTCCAAGTGTTAGGCAAAAACAAGACCTTGGTGTCCAAACATTGTTATTATAACATGTGTTTATTCAATGTGTTAGGACATGCATATCATGATCTGTACGTCCGTATTGCTACTCCCAACCTGCAACAAACCTCGAAACTCATATATAATAAAGGGGGAGACAAGTGTATGGATTTATGAAAAACCTTAGCAAACTATGCCTTTTAGAGTGCAGTTGAATGAAGTATCAGTTTAAAAACCTTGCCAGCTAGAATGGTAAATAAAATTATTAGGAAACAAAATTAAATACCAAATTGCGATGATGACTTAATCCATGATGTAAACCATATTGAAACAATCTTGATAAAAAGAATACATACTAATTCTAGAAATTAGGTGGACTCAATCCAAACAACAATGCAAAAACGAGTAGACACAACACTTCAATTACTTATGTTCACTGAAGATAAAAAAAGCAAGCTAAGAATGATTTAAAGATACATCACATATTCACATGTATATCTTAATCCCCAAAACAGTTAAGAACGCAAGCTAAGAACGCGTACTTATCAACTGGAGTACTGGACTACAAGACTTGTCACAGTTAAGTCGTCGCTGCGTATAGTCTGTCAAGTCCGCATAAACGTGTTTGGGAAACCGCGTGTTCAAATCTGTAGCTTTTTTCATCCCAAGTGAGCTTCTAAATTGAATGCCTTGGAGTTGCCATTAGTCAAATCTGCTAATTTTAAATTACACATGATGAAGCTGACTTTATGCCGTGAACTCCACACGTATTGGAGGGCTTGGTTTTGACTTAAAATGCTTATTAGAAAGGGCTATGTCATGCTGTTTTCCTTTTTACTGTGTGGGTTCTCAATGCACATGAAAATTCAGTCAATTATATATTCCTGGGGAAAACTCAGTGGCGTTTAAAGAAAAAAAAAAGTCATTACAATACACAGTCTTGTTTGGACTAGCAAACCCATCACCTACATTTGCAAACAGCCAAACACACGAATGCATACATCTGTACACCATGCTGGTACAAACAATGGCTATGCACACGACACAAACATACTGGTACCACATCACACAATTAACACAACCTGGAAAGATTTTCCAGGGCTTGTGTGCTTACTGGAAGTCGTTGGGGTGACCTGATCCTGGAAATCCAGAGCAGCTGGGTCCCTGATCTTGCTCAGCCATTGATGGCATCCATGGTGGTGCTGCAGCAGGGTTGGTTGATTCAGGTTGAGTAGGGTTACGTGGCCCAAACATAAGTTGAGCTTGAGCAGAGGTTGATGCACCTGAGTCCTGATACAGGTCAAAGTTCATGCCCGCCAACTGCAAAAAGGAATGCCCAGCCGTTCAAGAATGTGAGCAAAGCATCTGTGAAGCAATGGATATGCAAAAGAAGAGGATGCGTTTTGTGGTTATCTGCATCACCTCAATTGGGCAAGCAAAGTCCATCATGCCTTGGGGGTTTTGAGGCCAAGGTGAAATTACTTGCTGCTGACTATGCAGTGGAATTCCTTGGCCTGTCAAGTTTAGAAATCATTTCATCAGGATAGCTGTGTAAAGTTTAAATTCATCATATCAGAATAACTCAGGGAACAATCAGTGACCTGGTAATGTTTTTGAAGAGTGAACAATTCATTTCTGGAAGTAAAGTACCTTGGCAATAACGTGTGTTTAGATAATCAGGATCGGCAACAATGGGACCACAGTCTGCAATTTGGTAAGGTGTTCCATGCTCGCCCTGGGGCAAATTTTCAGCTGTTCCAGTTCCTGGTAAGTACATCACTGTATCAGAAAAACTCACAGAAAACACATGGAAAGGACAGACATAAGAGGAAAATGTTTCTAAAAAAAATATAATGGGGGAACAATCACGAAAATAATGTGAGAGAACATTCATCTTTTTAAATCACAGTACCTTGGTAATAGTGTGTGTTTGGACCATTATTAGGAATGGTGGGACCACAGTTTGCCACTGGGGAAATGTGTCCCATTACATGTTCATTGTGGGCCAAATATTCAGCTGCTCCAGTTCCTTGGAGGTTTAAATAGAAATTGCAGCCTCAGACAATCAGTTGTACTGAGGAATGTAAGAGCAGTCAGAATTTAGAAAGTGATATCGGAGTGACCTTGATATGCAAGCTGATTAGTAGAGAAAACTTGTTGTGATGCGCCCACTGCTAGAACAGAAGGTGCAGCAGCAACATCTGTGCTTGAAGAGACCGGCTCAGGAAAATTGCCTTTCATTACAAAATCAGGTGAAATGTCCTTCAGTTTTTCATATGCATGCAATCTCCATTTGTTCACTAAAGCCTGCAACACGAACAAAGTTCAGATGTTGTTGAACATGGCCACGATAGTAATATTGGTAATATGGTGATCATGGGTTCAGTGTGTACCTTCTGAGCTGTGTTAAATCTTTGGCATGCAACATACTCATGTGGGAATGCTGCTCCGACAAGCTCATGCACGCAATTAAAGAAAAACACAACGTTGCCCTCTTTACTGTGGTACTGTTTGAGTTCTTGCCGATCTTCGAGAACACACTCTCTAGCATGCTCAGTCAGTTTTGACCAAGCATTTTGCTGATTTTCCATCTTGAGGATCTGCATGATTTAAAACAACATCATGTGAATGAAACAGATAGCTGCAAAACAGGGGCATACAGGATAATGCATTTAGAATTCTTTACCGCACGAAGCTTGTTGGAGTCCTCATTCAAAGCCTTCAAGAAGCCCCCCACTTTATAGATTTGCACCTCCTGAAGCCTCCTGTGGTAAGCTCCATCCCTGGCAATCTCCTCTAAGCGATATAGGTCATCATCTAGTCTTGGAGGGTGCCTCTTCTCATTTGCTGAAAAAAAATGATCAGACTAGACTAATACAAATTCAGAAACAGCAATAAACCTGACAATATGAAAAACCAGGTTCATACGTTTGTTTCTGCGGTCGAGAACTTTCACAGGCTTCATGATGGCTTCCTGAACCCGACCACAAGTCTTTTTGTTCTTGCAAACTCTTGCTGCCATGATGACGTTTTTCCTGGATGACCCTTCCCTGAAACGGATCTGGCTAAGTTCAGCCATTCCATTGGTTAACCATACAGTCCCCAGGACAAGATCGTGCCCGTCCCGACCTTGCAGTATATGCTTATCAAACTCATCTTCAGTCCAATTGTCTCGGCATTTGTTGGAGAAATCTCCACGGAGAACCAAGATCTCAATTTTTGCTTCCGAAAGCGCACCAGATTCTACCACCTTGTCACCTTGAAACATGGCAAGTTTGATAGCTGCATGGTTCTGAGATGTTAAGTTCTCTTCCGTGTAAACAGGTGGCTCCAAACCATTCAGGAAACACAGTCGCGTGTCTGTGTTTGATCCATTAGCAGCAATATGCTCCTGATTTGCCTCTAGTCTGAAACACCAGCATGAATGAAAGTGTGATAAGCCCAAAATCAAGTAACATATTCACTGGCATTTTTTAAATTCAGCACACACGTACTTCGTTTCATCACATAGCAACAAGAAATTGATGTTTCAAATATTTCTCTTGTTAAACTGGATGCAAAGGAAGTATTATATGGAAATGGCAACTTGATAACAAGCAAAACAGGAGATGCATAGTACAGTTCAGGTAGAAACAAATTTGTGGGTTCATTACCTTGTCTGTTGATCAGTGTGGCGATTGGAACACAGGCGTGACAATTGTGTCTGTCATAATTTTTATATAAAGAGTTTTATCATGAGTATGAACATAAACTGGATTCCATAGACAGGGATTTACAGATATCATGTATGGAAGGTATTAAGTTAATCTAACCACTTCATGGCGGAGACCCTCGATCTGCTCCTGAAAACTCTCCAGCTTGCTACAACCATAGAGAAGAGAAAGGATTAAAAATAGTGATAATGGAAATAAATGCAAATAAATGTGCTATGATGTGAAATAATACTTGTGTTAAACGGATGAATTGTATAAAATGTATGTTACTGATCCTGTCCCTAGTTGCAGGAAGCAGTGGCGGTAGAATAATTACAAAAAGTTACAAACCTTTTATTTTAGGGATAGAAAGATTTGCAGATTTCTAATGAGTAGCAAAACTTCATAAGAGAAAATGGATAAGTGTAATATAGGAACTATTGAATGTGAGAAACACATAAATAACTAATTTTTGAACCTAATCCTGGTTGATTGCACCATAAAATACATGCCAGAGAAAATTTTCTGAAACTAATAATAAAAAACTATGGGCACTCATGGCTCACCTACCAATCGATCCAATCTCTCTTTCTTGAAAAGCACTGATAAGGACCTACACAAAAATTTTGCGCTCTCACAATTGTTGTTGTGCTAACCATAGTACTACTGCTCTAAGTGATAAAGACCGATATCCTTACATCTGAGGGAATAAATCGTATGGTTATAAGAAAGGTAGGGACTTGCAGCAAGAGAAGAAAAACTGTACCTGGAAATCATCCCATGATACTTGTGAAAGGTGCAGTCGACATATCTCTGAAGCTGTGAAATCACAGGAGCAATGAAACCAGGGCAGACAAAATGCTAGTAAGAGAGTCTGGCAGAGGAAGACACTGCTATGCTAAAAGCTAAATGCAGGGCCGGAATTTTTCCATTTTCTAATAAAAAAGAAAAAGGGGCAGAGGACAATAATGGCAAACATATATCTGAATATGATCTTAGGCTAGATCTAGATCTGTAGTCCTGCACTATAATGTACTAGTACCTTTTAGTATCCTTCCACAAAAAAGGGTTCATTTTGGTCAATTTAAGGAGGTGCTCAGTAACTGTGAACACCAATTTCAGCATAGGTGGCAAGTGACCAAATCAGACAAGAAATACTAGTAACAATTGTTGTAAGGATGGGTCGGAGGAGTAGCTGACCATGCGACCGATTTGGGAGATGGAGATGCTGGCCGTCACCGTGGTCCTCCTGCGCGCACAGAGAGCAAGATGAAGAAGCGCACCCAGGACCAGGAGATTCAAGAAACAGAAGTGGGTGGGATGGGAGCACTCACGCTCGCACCAGGAAGAGCACCACGAGCAAGGTCTGCCGCAGCCTCCGCCACCTCGGTGACGCCACCTGGCCACCGCCGCCGCCGCCGCCGCCGCCGGCGGCGGTCGGTACCACCGGTGCCAGCTTCATGCGCTTCGCCGGCGGCTGCGGAACCACCCCCCTCTCCCTCTCCCTCTCCCTCTCACTCTCCTCCCTCTCCATCTCCCTCTCCCTCCCCCTCCCTACCCCTCCCGTCAAGGTCAAGCGTCGCTGTGGTACTGCCGCGGAGCACGGACAAGCGTCGCTGCGTCAGGCCGTTGATTATTCCCGTTGTCATATAGAGGATCGAGGAGGCGGCACTCGGAGGCAGCTGAGTAGCAGTGCCGCCGCGGCGGGCGGGCGGCGAGGGGGAACGGGAAGCGCGGGTTCGGTTCGGCCACGCGTCAGCCCAAAAGCGCGTGGGCGTCAACCATCCCGGCCGCGGCGCGGCGAGGTCAGCAGAATTGCGCATGCTCCTTCTCGCTCGCTGGGACTGGAGATTGAGGGATCTTGGCTTCCTCGCCTGGCCACGGAAAGGGCAAAAGGCATTTTTTCTGCTTCCAAAAAGAGAGAAAGAAAGAAAGGATAAAGGACGCGCGGACGGAGATGAGCCGACGTGTGTGTGTGTGACACTGACACCACAGTACTTCCTGCTGATTCATTTCCATGTTTAGAAAGTAAAGTTGGCTGATTTGTTGTAAGAGAAAAATATTATTCGTTGACTAAAAAAGTACGGCTTATCAGTCAAGTGAATAGGACGATTTTTGCTCTACCAATTTTGGAGAACTTATTTGGCAATATTTTCTGAGGGCATCTCCAAGAATTTTCTATTTTTTTCTCCTAAAACTTATAGTTTTACAACTCCTAAAAATATATCGGGAGGAAAAAAAGAAAGCCATCTCCAATAGTTTCTAATAAATTACTTTTAAAAAATCAAATTTGGGTCTTACATCTATTTTTTGCGGCTTTTTTTTTCGTCGCCGAACCGTCACAGGGCGCGTCAAACCCATCACGTCGCGACCTCCCTGCCGCTGCTGCTGCCGCCAACTCCCATCCGCCGCCGCCATCGTCAGTCGCAGCAGACAGGCACAACAGCCGGCCAATAGCAGCAGACAAGCACAACAGCCACCAACAGTCAATCATGCCGGTCTGTACCATCATCTGATGGGCAAGCACATCATCAGTAGCCCGCCACAACCAGCCTTGGCAGGGCACAGCGAGCCATGGATAGCCACAGCAACTCGTTCTGTACTTCTCTCCCAACCACAAAGATGCAGAACGCACGCCGCAGCTGCGTCGGCGAAGCGCGCATGTAGTACCGGCGCGCCACCGAAGGGCGCAAGCGCACATGGCGGCGGCGGCCCGGCAATGAAGCGCAGGCTGCGAGCGAGCCCACGTGGTACAACGGCAGCAAGCGAAAAGCGGCGGCGGCGGCCGGCGGGCTGAAGCGCCAGCGAAGCGAAGCAAGCGGCGAAGCGCGTGGCAGCTGCAGCAAGAAGTGAGCTCTCAGCAGCGAGGGCAACGCCTCCGCGAAAGCATCAGCGGTGCGCGGCCGCGCGCGTCTGGTAGATGGCAATGCGTCCTGGCAGCCTGCGAACGGCGAGCACGACGCGGCGGGCGAGCGCGGCTTTGGCGGACACGCGGCCTGCACGGCGGCGCGTGGAAGGCGAGCGTGGCCCTAGTGGAGGCGCGGCGGCACAGGCCAGCGCGACGGGTCGGGCGAGCTCCCGCGGCGGGGCGGGCCTGCGCGGAGGCACGCGAGCAGGGCTCCCACGGCGGTGCGGGCTAGCACGGAGGCGCACGGGCAACGCTCCCGCATCGAAGCGACTCAAGAGCCGCGCAAAGTTACGCGGAACTGGCTCAGTTTTCCCAAGTGCCTAAATATTAGGAGGTGGATTAGGAACTGTTGGAGAGAGATTTTTTCCTGATTTTTCTAAAAACCAATTATTAGGATGGCAAATAGGAAACTCTGAGAGATGCTCTGATATGTCATTACTCATTACTGTGTTTATGACACATGGAACCCTACCCTCCACAATCACTAACAGTAACATATCAGACAGGTGGTATATCCTTTATTGTAATTTATAATTTGTAATAACAAGGAATTATTCATCTCCTGTCCTTTTCCCTTTTCTTCCTTTCTTTTTAGTTTTTCCAAGATTTTGTCCACATAGATGCTTATAGCTAGGAAATCGAGGGTGATTTGGGGTTCATGACATGAATGTACATCCCTTTCTCTAGGTGAAATAATGTCTAAGGGACAATTTGGTAGAGCTCCCCTTCTTGATTCTTGATCTTTACTTATTGATTCTAAGGTGAAGTGATTTCGGTGGGGACTAGGGTGAAGAGCAGGTGAGATTCGATTATGAAGTGATACGGATGGTGATTGAGTGGGGAGCGGTGGACAGTGTTTTTTTTTTCTCAGCTTGTAGTGTAAATGGAGAAATAATTCTTGTCAGCTTACCACTAAAACCCAGTTGCATTTTAATCGTTTGGTAGGGATATGCAAAATACACTCCGACAAGCTGGGATCGAAGCTTTGCCAAACTGACCATAATAATCCCGTAATGCAAGGATGTCCATGTAAATCATCAACAATATAGTGACAAATAACGAGAATAATAAATACTCCCGCGATTCTAAATTATAAGACGTTTTAACTTTCCTAGATGCATTCTTTTTATTATGTATTTAGACATAATGTATATCTAAGTGCATAATAAAAGCTATATATTAAAAAACCAAAACAACTTATAATTTAGAAGGGGTGAGTATCGTTTTATAGCTTACAATAATAGCTCTCTAGCCATGAAAAACAACTTGATCTAAATACAGTTAAGGTGTGATACTGTTACTCCCTCCATATTCTTTATAAGACAGCACACATATATCAAGGTTAAACTTTAAAATCTTTGACCAATAATTTGACTAAGAATTTTGAGCTATAATAATACATACTCTATAGTGTTAGTATTGTGATGAAATATACTATCCAACTATAAAAAGTTTATAGACATAAATAATATAATGTAAAATAAATAAATGTTCAAATAATAATTTGAAATACGGTGTCATGCTATGTCTTATAAAAAGAAAATGGAGGTAATTCGAAGAATTTGACATTTAATATTCATGCTATCATGATCACACTCCGCTATGCTAAACAAGAACTGTGTTTTAGATTCTTGTTTTTATTGTAAGTTTCTTCTTTATTATTTTGCCTCATACATAGGATAAACATTAATTAAATTCAAGTGCCTGCAACCAACATGGCCGCCGGCCCCTAGATTAATGTATATTGGTATTATATTGGTTTATGGAGTACTTTTACTTAATTAGTATATGTCGTTGTACTAGCAAACATGATAGTGCACTGTAACAGAGGTTCTGCTTGGCAGAGCTCGCAGAGCTGATTCTCTGCTGAATCCAGCAGGAGCTCTGCCAAACAGTTTTTCAGAGAGAAATGATTCTCTGCTGATTCAAGTGATTCTCTGAAATGAACTAAGAGGCTGGGAGTTAAAAAAAGTAGCTTCTCTAGATTATGAGAAGTGATTCTCCATCATGATTTTGAGAGTTTATGTTAAAGAATCAAAGAGAATCACTTTCAGCCATAGAACTACTTCTCTCAGAGAATCAGCTTCCATAGAAAATCAGAATCAGATGGAGCTCTACCAAACAGGCCAAGAATGTATAACTTGTCGCATGATCATCTGAATGACTTGACGCTTGGAGCTTTACTTAATAATTGTGCCATACGTTTTAATTTGTCTTGGAATCAAATTATGTACCACACATGGACGTGTGCTACTCTAACTCTTATAAGAACAGAGGGCTTAGTCATTTATCTAATGATCGTGTCATGCATTCTAATTTGTCTTAGCATCGGATTCTGCAGCTCCTTGTATGGGTATGGGAGAGAGTGATGAACCAAGGAAACGCTATAGACTTTAATATTAGTTATAGATATATATACTCATGTCCGTAAATAGTTTCTGCCTTCGGCGGAAACTAAAGGCTCTCAATTTCAGAAATGGGGTTCTTTCATTCGTTGGGTAGACTAAGTAACCATTGTCCAATAGAGACCCATCAATGCAAAGCAAGTACATCTTAGGTTGCCCTTATCGGCAGGCTCATTAGACCACCTTAATAGACGAGAGAAGAACAACACATATGATTTGAGAAAGTAGGGTGGAGAGAAAAGATTAAGAAGTACAAGATAGGGGGATTCTTCTTGGTCATGAGTCAAAACTCTTGTAATCCACACATCAAAGCAACTCAATAGATATGTTTAAGAAGAAATGGAATGTTTTGATTTGAAAATAAAGAAAACTAGATAGTTTAGTTTTTGTGGTTTGTGGACGTGGTCACGTTGTAATTACCATAAGTTTCACATCCGTACTCCAAATCAAGCGATCTGTATGCTTATTTGGATTATTTTGACAAGGGATATGTCATGGCAATCTACAATATGTAATTTGACCCCCATATTATTGTAAGTACAAGTACTTTTTTGTATCCTCAATAAAATTAAATCAAAACCTCTAGATTAGATGTTCATAGGTTGGAAAACACGTCAACGTACCAAACTTGTGGAATAATAAGTGATAATACTAAGTCTATTGAATTTAAGTGTAGCATATGCCTCCTACTTTTGGCAAAGCTTGCATGTCAGAAAAATAATACTCATGTTACTTATGGTGATGATAAACTTAACATTCACTAGCATGTTTAGTTCATTTATTCTATAAAAGCATATTAATGTAGCAGAAATGAAATTCTAGCAAGTATAACAATGCATGCTGACTTTAATCAACTAAATATTTTGTCTTGTCAACATTTAAAGCATATTCATAAACATAACTCTGGATGCAACTATGATAGTGAATCATATATATTATGACCTCTTGGTATAGGACAATCAGGGTATATGGATATTCATAAAACAACACATGCCAAAACCATGGATTATAGTCAAATGTATTGGAGAAGCATATTGTGGCTTGTGAATTGATGGTATATATGATGAAACTTGTGAGGTAACCGCTAATGATGTTGATGCATCTTTGTTCTTCATGATGAAGAACTTGTTTGATTATTTGTAGTCTCACATAGTCACTTATTTTGCATGGTTATTTGCACCATAGTGAATTATAAGAAATACCATAGTGAACAAGAATAGG